GGACGAGCGACGGTCCGGGGGTGCAGGACATTGCCGATTCGGTGGGTCCATCCGCGCAGGTGGACGCCGACGAAGGATGGCGACAAGTGGCGGCCCAGCTTGAGGCACTGAAGGCGGTGTTGATGCAGCTGTGCGACCTCGTGACGCCGGCGACGACTTCAGGGAGGCCCAGTGGGGAACAGTGGACCGGGGCCTTGCCTACGCCGTCAGCCATCTCCACCACGCGGCACGAAGCCGCCATCTTGGGCGTGGCCGACGAAGAACGGCGGGAAGCCGCCATCTTACGCCCTCCACCGCGGGGAGCCGCCATTTTGAACACGTTGCAGAGTGACGCCATCTTATCCTTGCTGCACGAGTCGCCACCAATGGAGGACAGCGGAGCAAGGACCCGCAGCCGTCATCTAACAACTGTTAAAGAATTCTCCATCGGCGGGGATTGGAGTGCGTTCGCCTGCCGGTTTCAAGCAACGGTACAATCCGCCAAATGGACGGACGCGGAGGCCCTAGAAGTCCTGCCAACACTTCTCGACGACGAGTCCGTCAGGTTCTTCCGCTCCATCAAGGCCGAAAAGAAGAGGACGCTACAGGGGGTCTTTGAGGAAATGGCGGATGCGTACGAGCCTCCAGACGATGCTCATTGCAGATTCGTACAGCGGCAACGGGCGCCGGAAGAATCGCCGGTGGCATTCCGAGGCGCCGTTCTGGAACTGGCTATGGCTGCATATCCTGAGATAGAGCCTGATTTGTTGGAACCCCCATATTGGGCAAGATGCTGGAATTATCTAGAGACTTGGGGATCCCCATGCCAGTGTGCGGCCATGATAAGTTGATGTCCCGTGCTGCGGCTAAGTGCTTGGATGCCCAGTTTAACCTGCGACGGTGGAAACAGGTGTCGGCTTGGACGGGGGGCCCCATCGTCGAAGGCGGTGCTACAGGGTGGGACCCCAAGAAGGCCGTCTATGTTCCTGACGACAGGGATCCGCAGGAGCTGACGGCCGCGTCCGCCCAATGGCCTGCTCGAGGGGGAGCGGGGGTGCGCTCCGGGCCGCCGACGCGGGAGCGTCGGGACAGAGGTGGTGCTGCGCGCCGAAACGACGTGGAGTGTTTCCGCTGCGGCCGTAAGGCCCACTTCACCAGGGATTGTTGGGCTCGCATCTCGGGGCCGCCCCAGCAGTAGGCCTCTGCCACGGACGTGACACGAAAGGACCATCCAGGACAGACGAACCGGCCGTGACACAGGCGGATACATCGAAGCCTGCTCTGGGTGGGCCTACCACGGCGACGGGGACACTTGACCCCGCTGCCCCTCCAACCCCACCACAGACAAGATTGCGGGAGACCTCGGACTCGGGTCTCTCTGGGGAACGGGACCTTGGCGTTGACGGGCCTCCAACAGCGGCGGGCGGTTATAATCCCGTCGCTTCTAAAACCCCGTCGCGTTCTCGGTCTGTAGGGGGGCCGCCGCCCGTTCAGGACAGGCCGGCGACCCGCACGCATTCCAAATCCCTTTCCTTTCGTTGATTGTTGTTCTTGTTCTTGTTGTTCTTTGTTATCGTCTTGTTATAGTCTCCGTTGTCCGGTGATGCTCGATGGTTGAAAGTTGCTCGCATTATTTTGTTCTGTTGCAGCCGGGGACGGCTGGGTTTTTCATCAGGGGGGGGGGTCGTGTAATGCGAGCAAGGATTGAGGGGGGCGGAGTCTGGGTCACGTGAGGAGAGGGAGGAGTTAGGGTCACGTGGGGGAGAGGATTTAGGGAGAGGAACCGGAAGGGATCGGGGAGTTAAGACAGAGTGAAACGGGAGGAGGCCACGCTGGGCAGTACTGGGAGAGTGGCGCGATCGCCACATGTTGGGAGACCTCGGCACCGTCGGCCATCGGGGTCCGGGCGTAGAGGGGCTAGCGGGCTGTGGAAGGCTGGCCGTGGGCGAGGAGGAGTGGAGCAGCAGTGTGGCTGCAGAGCGGAGCAGCCGGGTGGCTGCAGAGCGGAGCAGCAGTGTGGGTGCAGAGTGGAGCAGCAGTGTGGCTGCAGAGCGGAGCAGCCGGGTGGCTGCAGAGAGGAGCAGCAGTGTGGCTGCAGAGCGGAGCAGCATTGTGGCTGTGGAGTGATCGACGGAGGAGACGCGGGCCTGAGCGAGGACGCCGTGGGAGCGAGATTTACACAAACCCAAATAAAGGACAACGGAGATCGACACTGTGAAAGAGTCCTTTATTACATATACAACAAGACCACCTGGAGGAGCGTCACGGACCGCACTCTGAGAGCCACTGCCCTCGAGGGTTATCCCAGTTAAGGAAGTAGACACCAAGGAATTAGAGTTTAGTGAAGCACATAGACAGGCTATAAATATAAACGGTTGATAATAGTAATTTAAACACGAGGGCTTTTACAACCAAAATTATTGATGATAAAGTGTGTAAATGATTTTATCCTTGGGTAAGATCACATTAATAATGTGTCGTTAACCTGAAAACACAAGACAAAACCAATTAGTGAGGGTAATTCTGGCAAATCGTCCGATGAAGCCGATTGTTTTAATCACCAGCGACACGTCACAGCACTCACGTTGTAAATGTTGAAGTGGCTTTACTCTCCTGGAGGAGCGCTGCGGATCCATAATCTGTCAACCACTGCGATAGACGAACACGTTACAAACTCCACGCTTATCGATTATTTTTTCTAGTGTTTACTTTAACCGACATCTGCGTTTTCTAAGCACAGTTCCAGGCGATGAGACTGAGCAAGGCCATGTCCCTGTCAAGTAGGACACGCGTGCCAACGTTGATGGCGGCGGCAGTGGTGGTTGGGGCAAAGGATATCAGCGGAATGATTGGGTGTGGGGGGGAGCAGCAGCGCAGTGGTTATAGTGCCCTGCACTACGAACCCGGCACAGAGATTCCCGCTCACGGCCACCGACACCAATTAACGACTTCATCGGTACTGCTACTTGCTCAGGGGCCGTTCATAAATGACGTCACGCGATTTTGGACGATTTCTGACCCCCCCCCCCCCCCCCCATCGTCACACGGCGTCACAAAAAGTCAGACCCCCCTCAAGTATGACGTCACAAAGCTCTGCCCCACCCCCCCCCCCCAAAAAAAAACATGCTTCAAATCGCTTTAAACTATTGTCATTGTAGTGCGTTATTTTAATGTGCCGCTGCACTCTGATGTTGTAGAAGAAAACATTTCTTAAAATATTTAATGATGTAGAACGTGTTTATATTTATTTAAAGTTGCGCATTTTGATGTGATGTCACATTTCTCAAACCCCCCCTCTCGTCACATATCGTCACAAATGTATGACCCCCCCCCCCAGGTGCGTGACGTCATTTATGGATGGCCCCTAACAACACTTGCTCCCCAAAAGCCTGATGAGGCTATAACAGTGGGGTCTGTGTCTTTGATGCGGTGCAGCTACTGATGTTCAAATGCGTTTGTGATGGTTGCATCAGTGGTGAGTGGTGGGCGAGTGAGGAGCGGTGGTGCAGTGGTTCGCATGCTGCGCTACGAACCGAGCAAAGCCCCATCACGGCCACCAACACCTTTTACAAGGAATCAAGTCTGCATTAACTAAACGTTCTTGTGGTGAACATGCAAACAAACATTACTCTGACAATGATGTTACATGTGTAGAGACGTAAATAGCGTCTCTATGGCGTATAAGCCAACCACAACCACAACTGGTGAATGAGTGTGCACGTACCTCTCGATGGGGCCGACGGAGATGTGGCGGGGAAGCAGGCCCGACAGAGCAAGGTCCCGTCGCAGAGAGAGAGAGGGGACGTGCCGACACTGAGTGGGGAAGGGGGCCCGGAAACGGGGGCCCGGAGGACATGTGACGCTGGCTCCGGTTCCGTCGAAAGAGACCGAGGAAGGGGTGTGGCTGGAGGCGGAGCGAGGCCACGCTCGGGAGAATAAGAGAGATGGATGTAGAGCGATCGGGGTTGTCTGGTGGGAAGAGGCTGAAGAGCTAACCATGCGGGGTTGGTTCGGGGGGTCTTAGAGCGTCGGTCGTCGGGGACTCGCGTTACATAGAATGACCCCGTTATTAACCAGGAAAAGTCTTTACTGACTGTGATATTTCCATCCTACCTGCCTATGTCAGCTGTTATTTCCGACTCTCTGTGTCTCTCTCTCTATGCCTCTCTCTTAGATCTCTCATGCTCACATGCTCACATGTCCTTTGGATTGCACTCTCATACTCACATGCCCTTTGGATTGCACCCGTTGGGTTGCACTCCCTCGTCGAGGAGGCCGCTCTCCTCCTATCTTACAGTTACATGCTAATTTCTCACATTAACATCATGCTAATCTCTCACATTAACATAGCCACTTCCGTGCCCTCGTCGAGGAGGCCGCTCTCCTCCTATCTTACAGTTACATGCTAATTTCTTACATTAACATCACTAGCCCCGGCCACTTCTTTATGACCCTTGGGCTACACCCATTTCAAACCTTTTAAAACAGTCTGCCTCAGCAGCAGACAATACTTTCCCACCTGATGACGGACACTTGTGTTGCGCCCGAAACATCGTGATTTATTATATTTTATACCTACGTGACTTTATCGAAAGAACTAAAGAGTATGGATTCCTGCAGTCACGAAAGCTTCAAATCAAGATTGTAATTTACCCACTAAATATGTCGCGAGTTCATTGTGTCCGGTTCAGCAGCCACGCCCAATCACTCAATGTCAGGTGCTGTCTCATTAACATTATTTATTCAAATTTTGATTTCAAGTTTTCGTGACTGCAGGGATTCATATTCTTGGTTCTTTCGGTAAAGTCACGTAGAAGGGAAGTAATGAAATAAAAAATAATGTATTGTTTTATACTTTTTTTACTTTATTATGAAAAAATTACATTCATTTTTTATTGTTGTATATTTGTACTATTTTATTATTTCCCTTCTACGTGACTTTACCTAAAGAACCAAGAATATTATTTATTCAGTGGGAGGGGGTAAACTCGCTAGTGACGTCATGTCATCTCCACCGCGCGAATCCGCGTGACGTCACGAAGTCCCGGAAAGCTGCTCGCCACTCAACTGAGATCAGAGGTGAGAAGTTCAAATCGTGGTGGTGGTTTTTGGTGGTGGTGTTTGTTTATTGAGGTACAGCCTCGCTTCTTCTATTGTTCTCCTCGGGATATCAATTGAGTGTAACAGCGAGAATGGAATCGATGTCCAGGTTGGAACGTTACAAAGTGTGGCCTAGCCATGCTGGCCTTGCCTCCTGCCATCGCCTGATTGTATTTGCTTTGATTTTTGTTAATTTTTATTTGTCCTCACCTGGCTGATTACTTTAAAACCATGTTTTGTTTTAATATTTCTATTTTTAGCTATATATCTTTCAGAAGCGACCTGCCCACAACAAAGTGGCTTGTCATCGTGTGGAAATGTATTGCTTTCAAATGCTCTAAACTCGTGTTTCTAAATTTGGAGTTCAAATCCACGCGACCACGCAGAAAGAGAGACACGCAAACTCCAAATAAACACGCGTCAGCGTCGGGATCCAACCCACGACCTCCTGTATACCGCGCGATGTCGTGAAAATCTCGCCAGCGTGGTGCACACTCGAGTGCTTTATCACACTGAGTCTCTTTACTTCAGTTCAGAAGCGTCCTGCCGAGTTGGTTTGGCAGTCGGGGGGAGGGGCGATGCTTATTCGCGTATTCCCGATTGAGTAAACTGGAGGCATTTGTTCAGCATTGCAATATTTGAACGATACCAGTCCAGAAGTTTATTTCCCCATTGAAGTCCATTGAATACACTTTTTTTGGGGGGGGGGGGGGGAGCTCAATAATGCATATATTTTTTGCACAGCAAGTGAGCTGAGACGTCAAATCTGGCATGTGACCCGCGCATGTGGAACTGTAACGCATTGCAGTGTAGGGGTTAGCGCGCTGCGCTACGAACCCGTCGACCCGAGTTCGATTCCCGCTCACGGCCACCACCACAGACGATTATTTGAACCGGTCCTGGGCCTCCCCTAGGTCCACTCTACCTCAAACAATTAACTGGTGTGGTGTGTGAACATCGCCACTGGAGAGACAAAGGCGGCCGGGCGTGGTAAATTAAGTCCCGGGTGAAGCCGGGGCAGTAAAGCTAGTGAGGTTATAAATAGCAGAATTGAGATGCCAAAAGACGATACGTGGTTCCAAACCTTTGGGCAGAAACATCTGGGAGACGGTTAAGACAATCAGTCATACAGCAGGGACGTGCGGTCAGGGGAGGCAGAGACCCACCTGTCATACTCCAATGAAAATACAGTAGCTGTTAGGAAAAAAATGAAGATTTTTCCACTGATCTGTGTGACAAATGTAATTTCTGTTTGATTCCAATCATTACAGAGAAATAGTAACAGGCACGAGCTTATTGCCCGCGCTCCATCCAGTTTCTGAAGGGTTGCGCAATCAGAGGGGAGGCTGAGCTCGTCGCTGCCTCACCTCTCTCCCTGTATTTGCAGCGGAGCTCCGCAAATTTGGCGATTTTGACTATAAAAATTATTGGAATCGTACAGAAATGAGATAACAGATCAGTGGAAAAATCGTAGTTTTTATTTTATTATTTTTAACTTTTCGTTACAGATATTTTCATTGGGAGTATGACTGGTAAGGCTGTGCCTCCCCTGCCTCCACTGACCGCATGTCCCTGTCATACAGGAACCCCTGGACTCGCACAGAGACCCAAAGAATCGCACAGAGACCTAAAGAATCGCACAGAGACCCAAAGAATCGCATAGACAATCGGATGCACGTCGCATATTTTTCGGGATTGTCCAATGGTTTAATAACAAGTCAAATAAAGAGCAAATCTACTGAAAAAATTGCCTTGTAAATAAAAATATCATGCGGTTGATACAGACTTAATGTTTGTGTTAAAATATACCACAACAATGTTTGGTTAATGCAGACTTAATGCTGCCTTTCAATAGATATCTGTTTGCAAATTGGACTATGTACTTTATTCATTTCTATTTATTTTTCGTGAATTGCTTACCTTTCATCTATTTTGCACTCCTATCGTTTTTTGTATGTTGAACTTCTTTCACACCGTACATAGCCAACGATGTTTGTTTTTGTAACTTTCTGACCCGCCTCGACTGGACATCTGTTACATTCCTCCAGAAGACAGATTCTCATTTTAAAGATTCTGATCTTAATGTCTGTCTTATTGCCGAAAAGGTTAAAGCCTTTTCTTCTTTAATCAAAATAGTTCTATCATCATACATTTCAACCATGACGCCAGTACACAATGGCCTACTTATGAAAAATAACGCTAGAAAAAAATACTTGAACATCTATATGGAAGCATATTGTGCGTGTTGGTGTGTATAATATGCCTGCAATATTCGTAATACAATTATAATTTACATTTGTAAAGTGCTGCATTTCATCCGTGGACCCCACCAATCCGTGCTGTGTATCAAAAGTACGAAATATACACACCCACTAACTCAATCACTCACTCACTGGATGACCCACTCACTCCCTACTCAATCACCTCACCCACTCGGTGACCCAATCACTCACCCACTCGCTTAGGTAAACGGCGAAACTAGGCCGGGGATGAAGACCAGTTTATAGAGGTGAGTTTTAAAGACAGACTTAAATATATCTAACAACTCTGATTGTCTTACTAATCAGAGTGGCTGCTACATTTTACATGAGTGGTGAACCCGGAATATTGTGATTGGTGACATTTGCAATTCGTGGGCAAAACCTTATCTGGAACTGGGAGAGGAGGCAGTTTGACTAGTAGCTTCTGCAGTCGGTGTGGGTTCCTTTGCACTCATACTGGTAGAGCTCATATTCTTGGTTCTTTCAGTAAAGTCACGTAGATAGAAAAATAAAAATAAAATTTAAAAATAAATTAAAAGCTAAAAACCACGATGTTTCGATCGCAACACAAGCGGTCTTCATTAGGCGGAGAGAAAAGAGGGGGCAAGCCTCCAAATGCAACTGCTTATAAGGGCTTACAAAGTGAGTAAAGCTGTGCGGCGTAGAGCTCACTTCGTGGCGATGGCGAATGGCAGCTGTTGTGTGCGATAATGTAACCTATAGCGCGCTGCGCTACGAACCAGGCAACACGAGTTCAATTCCCACTCACCGCCACCAACACCAGTGACTATCTGAACCAGACTTGGGCCTCCCTAGATCGACTCAGCCTCAAATGAGTGCCTGGTGCAGTGTATAAACATAGCCACTGGAGAAACAAAAGCGGTCGGGTGTGATGCTGGCCATACACCCACTCCTGACCTTATTGTTAAGGCTATATTGGGGGTCTTTGTTGCGGGTAACTGTGTATGTGTGTGCATTGGAATATGCTCATGTGTGTTAATGTATTTTATTTGACTGCGAGTGTAAGTTAACACTGAACCTTGTTTTTTTTATTTGCATGTTTAGCCTCTGTTAGTATTACCGTTTTGTAGAGCGTGTTTTGGGAGTGTGTTAACGACCTGGGTAGCTAACACACGGGTTTGTGTATTTTAACGTGTGTTTGTGTGTATATATATTTGTTGCTTTTGCTATGCCTCAAATATTCCAGTAAGTAACCACACTGTCAATTGTTCGATGGTGCAAAACTCTGGTGACAAAGTTTAAACCCAGAATATTGTGATTGGTGACATTTGCACAGCTTGGGTAACCCAGAGTCTAAGAGCAGTTTTAGTGCCAGGCATAATTGACTTCCAAAGGAAGGTGCTGAGGGAGGGTGGTAATTTTACACAGGTTGCATTATGGAAAATTATAGAAACAACGTAGACTAAACGATGATCTCTTCTGGATTGGACGAAGATCTAACGTTCGTCCACACTGATTGCCAGATAATGAATATTCAGCTTGCCAGACCTGCAGAGAAGAAGCTTGCAAAGCCCCAAAGCAGTTTCAGGCCAGGGCAATAATGCGCAAATGTCATACAGTAGACCCATGAATACCACGGGTTTATTTTTTGCGGTTTTGACCTATCACGGGCAACCTCTTTGCATACCAATTTACACTTTTGTGAGTATACTGTTCTGGGAAGGAGGGCGGGGTGGGTGAGGAACGTGAGGAAATCGCTGGTACCTCAACTTTTGCCATGCAAGCATTTAGCCTTAACAGACTGTTAGGGCAAGTAGCACCTATAAAGGTTGGCACGGTACACAAAGGGGTAGGTTACCAGCATCATTCCCGGCCTCCTTTTTCTCCCCAGTGGCTGTGTTTACACAACACACCAGATACTTATTTGAGGCTGGGAAGGCCCATGGCCAATTCAGATGATCGTCATGTTTTTGGGCGTGAGCGGAAATTGAACTCGGGTCGCTGGGTTCATAGCGCAGCACGCTATCCCGAAGCACTTACCACTCTCCACTCACGCATACACATTGTCATCATTGTAAGTAGAGTATTTATTCAGTATTTATAATCCTATTTATTGTCTTGGAATGTTTTATTCAATACAGTTTCTACTTGTTTATTTAAATTGTTTTGTTTTTAGTTTAGTTGGCATGCTGTATAATACTTATTTCAATTGTGATGTGTATTTTGGTTGCCGTTTACCTAACCCCGTTCTTTCAGTAAGGCTTAAGAATTGCATATCGCTGTTTTGGCTTTCTCGGCATGTTCCAAGAACGCAACCCCTGCGATATTCAAAGGTCTCCTGTATTTTCTGTTCTTTGCTACAGCACAGATGTTATCGATTTTTTCTTTCAAAAGCTAGATCTCTGCTTTCTTGATGTCATCAAGGTCTAAGTACCATGAAGAGGCTCCAGCTTTTGGTTGTTCATTGTTTACGATATCCGTGCCCCTCTGCTCACATTTGTTAAGGATTTTTATGATTTTGGGCAGGCCCGGCAAATGCTGCGTGACAAGGATTCGGAACCGTTTCCTGTTCAAGTTGGCGTGTGACAGGAAGTCCCTCTGGCCACATACATCACGGTAAGTCCCCGGGTAGCGGAAGACCCGACTTACGGAATTCCAACCTTACGGAAATGCTCCCATAAATCATGTATAAAAATTCAACATGCGAAAATGTTTGCCTTGGTTACTTAAGCGTAAGTAGTCCAGCGTTTTGAGGTTGTAGATGAATACTGTGGAGCGAGGCGTAAGGCAGGCAGCATCTTCCCCAAAACGGTGGTGTATAGCCGCTCTGCACTCTCAGTCATGCTGTTACATTGTTACCGTGAGTGTGTTGTACTTGCCACATCGTCTTGTAACTTTCAGTGTAATATCACCCTTAATTGCATTGGAATAATGACTGGAAAAGATTACGGTAAATGGAATTGTTTTGTAGCATTGCCTAATTATTTTTCTTTTGTAGCATTGCCTAATTATTTTTCTTTTGTAGCATTACGTAATTTTGGTTTTCTGTGCTTAGAACTATCTTGTCTTTCCCATGTTTCTCTTTATAGTTTTAATTTGAAGTTTATTTAATAAGTTATTTACATTGTGTACTTTATTTAAACATTACACTTGGATTGCTTATGGTCTAAACCAACAGCGATCAGAGAGGTCTAGGCCTAGCCTATTGCATGGTAAACGAATAGTCGGAAGTGACTGTTTTCTGTTAATAATTAATATTAGAATGTCTCATGGTGTTCATAAATAATTGGATAAGTATATATTCCATTAGTTTAATTATGGGTAGTGTTAGGGTAGATATTCGATAAAATGAAAGAATCATAGGAAGTGCAGAACGTATGTAGAGCAATACGATACAGGTCGTGATAGAAAATGGACTATAGCGCGATACAGTACTGAGAGAAAACGAACGAGTAATTGGGTAGGGGCGGCACAACACAAATATTTCCGGCTATGGGATTTCGTCTGGATTTTGGGGGCGAATTGCGTAGTGTCCGACATAGGAAATTGGGGTTACAGGACGTTCCCAGGAACCTAACCCTTCCATAACCCGGGGACTGTTTGTACATTAAGATACAGTGGTACCTCAGTATACGTCGTTAATTCGTTCCAGAAGGTAGGACTTGTACCGAAAATGACATATACCAAACGAATTTTTCCCATAAGAAATAAAGGGAAAGGAAATAATCCGTTCCAGAGTATAAGAAAATTTTTTTTAAAGGGCATATTATACATTAATGGGGTTGTATAAAATTATTTAGACACTACTTATTACTAAAATGCATACATAAATTAAAATAAATGCATAAATAAATTTTAATAAAAATTAATTTTAACGTCACTTTACCTTGCTGAGAGGAGTTGATAGTCTACGAGGATGGTGGTGAGGAAGGGGAGGAGGAGGAGATGATATTTTTTGGAAGGAGAGTCCCCTTCAATTAAAACTACTGTACAGGCAGACTGAGGAGCGGCGCTTTGTTTCACACGGGTACGCGGTGACTCATCCCGACCCATACAAGTTCTAGCAAGTGCGTCATATCCCAAGCAAGACGACGTATCCCAAGACATTTTTTCTCTCATAAAAACACGACGTATACCAAATTCGATGTATTCCAAAGCGGTCGTATACCGAGGTATGACTGTAGCATCTTTAATAGTTGCATCGTTTTGAGAACCTCACAATAGCCCTACAAAAACCCATTTGGTGCAGTTACAATGAGAGGCTAATCGATGGCTGGTTACAGTTAAGGGATGGAGTTAGGGACTTCTGTACCTGGATAATTTCATCATGAGGAGGAGCCTTACATATGTTCCAAAAAAAGAAAGCACCTGCCTGGGTATATCATGGCATCCAACATTCCGCCTACTCACCTCTTTATGAGTAATCAGGCAGTTCTACAGGTGGTGGAGGAGCTCCCATACTTGGTTAATGTGTTCACGACCAGCTCTGGTTTGGCAGCTAAAGTCTCAATTCAAATTAGTCAAGCAGCATTCTTTAATTAGACTGTCTAACATGGTGAGGAAGCAGCCTGGACCGTTGCTCCATACAAATCGCTGAATCTTCTTGCCCACAGCTATGACCCCTTTCTCTGTGGATGTGAAATGTGGACTCCTTTAAAGAAGCATCTGTGCTGTCTTATACAATTAAGGCTTGCCTGCCTATGATTCATCCTCTATTGAGCCAGACTTGATGGTATTCGAAGCTTACAAATCCCTGAGATATACGTACAGAATATAATCAGTGAGCCTCTTTGGCAGGCGAGGCTGCATTCGTTGGTCGATCTCTGCGGAGGAGGTCAGAGGAGTGACACATCAATGCAGCAAGTTGGCACAGTTGGTAACACAGGTGATGCATCTGTCAGTCATCTCAGTCATCCCTTGATACCTGCATCATTCCCATGACCTCCTTGCAAGTGCTCCACACTTACATGGCCTCAATTCGCACCTATCATGGCATGACCACTGTAATGATGTTACTACCAATTAGTGGTGATTGGTAGCTGTTTTCTTTATATAATCTGTCAATGATCCATGTGAAACATATCTGTATGTAAGAGTGTATCTACATGGGGAGCGGAGGCACATTTGTTCGTCCACTGCATTATGGAGCCAACATTCACAGTTGTATTATTGCTGACAGCAGACATGATTGACAAGTGATAGCTTAACTTATTGTAGGCCTCTGCTGGGTTAATTGTTCCTAGGTTAGTACTTGGTGAAGAGTATAAGCGTCTGTACTGAGCAGATGAAGGCAGGCAGGCAGGCATGGTTCTAGCCACAACACCACCACCTTCACTGTTCCAGTGCGAGAGAGTGTAAAGTTTTTTTTTTTCTGTAAAGTATATTGACCATATTATACACCTAGGTTTAATCAAAGAAATGGGGGTTTTCTATTACATGTGTAAATAAGCTCCTTGGAGACATACATTTTCAGGGGAGTAGAGCTTTAGTTTTCCGAACGTATATACAGTCCAAGTGTAACGACTGCCACCCTCGCAATCGCTATGGCTATCTTCAACCCCGATGGTTTCCACAGTTGGCCCCAACGTCGTCCACCTCTGGTCGTGAATCAGTCCCCGAGTAAGCGCCCCGACCGCGGGCCTCGCTCCCCCTTATATACTCGCCCCCCCCCCCCCACTTTACTATAACATGTTTGTCCTTAATTGAATAATTCTTACAGTGCCTTCCGGTCACCTGTTTCCAATCATCACAAGGCGCGCCTTCTAGAACCTTCTCTTGTACAGTCCCCGACACATGGAATGTTTCATAAGCATAGAAAACACAGCACATGAAGCTGAAATTACATCTGTCCATCCAAGCATTCAAGCAAATCTGAGCCTGGCTTCGGACTTCCAAGTTGTGATTGAACGTTAATTTGTCCATTTTATAATATTTCTTCCTAATGTGAATAGTTTTATTTTTAACACTATTTGCTATTTTTATGAAACTTTTGCAATAGTTAACATTTCTTCAGTAGCCAGATACAACCGACATTCTGTACATTGAGTTATGGGTTATCATTGATATTAAATATGCTTGGGCCTCCAGGCATTATACTGACCACTTGCCTTGCTATACCAGGCCAACAGCTGGTCGTCAATAGTAGCAAGTGCCGTAAAACAGCCTGTGTGATACATTTGAGGATTATTCTTTTTTTATATCTCGTTAATGTTTGAGTGTTCTTGTCTATGTAATATGTGAATATCACGTGTGACTGTGTATATATATATATATATGTATTTCTATGCTTCTATGCTGACATACATTGCGTGGGTCTTACTGTTTTCTGTCTGCAGCTGCCAGTTCCTCTGCCACTTTGCTGTACAGAATTGGTCAGATGGAGCGAAGACAATCAGCGGGAGAGAAACCATTCAAGTGCACTGTGTGTGGGAAGGCGTTTGCATATCCATCACATCTTCAGGTCCACCAGAGAACACACACGGGAGAGAAACCGTTCAAGTGCACTGCGTGTGGGAAAGCATTTCCACGGTTATCAAATCTTCAGGGCCACCAGAGAACACACACGGGAGAGAAACCCTTCAAGTGCACTGTGTGTGGGAAGGCGTTTGCAGATTCATCACCTCTTAAAAGACACCAGAGAATACACACAGGAGAAACACCCTTCAAGTGCATTGTGTGTGGGATGGCCTTTTCACAGTCATCAAATCTTAAAGAACACCAGACTACACACACAGGAGAAAAACCCTTCAAGTGTACTTTGTGTGGAAAGGCATTTGCACGGTCATCAATTCTTCAGGGCCACCAGAGAACACACACGGGAGAGAAACCCTTCAAGTGCACTGTGTGTGGGAAGGCATTTGCAGAATCATCACATCTCAAAATACACCAGAGAAGTCACACAGGAGAGACACCCTTTAAGTGCACTGTTTGTGGGAAGGCCTTTGCAAAGTCATCCCATCTTAAAACACACCAGAAAACACACACGGGAGAGAAACCCTTCAAGTGCACTGTGTGTGGGAAGGCGTTTGCAGATTCATCAAATCTTCAGGTCCACCAGAGAACACACACGGGAGAGAAACCCTTCAAGTGCACTGCGTGTGGGAAGGCATTTGCACGGTCATCAAATCTTCAGGGCCACCAGAGAACACACACGGGAGAGAAACCCTTCAAGTGCACTGTGTGTGGGAAGGCGTTTGCAGATTCCTCACCTCTTAAAAGACACCAGAGAATACACACAGGAGAAAAACGCTTCAAGTGTACTGTGTGTGGGAAGACGTTTGCAGATTCATCACCTCTTAAAAGACACCAGAGAACGCACACAGGAGAAAAACCCTTAAAGTTCACTGTATATGGGGGGAAGGGTTTTCGACAGTTAGGGGATCGAAACAAGCATCAAACCATTCATCAGAAAATTAATCTGAAATCGGCTTGTGAAAGTCAAAGTGCTGCAATGAGTCCATTCCTCATGAAACAAGAACCAGAAAAACATTTGAGATATGAAACGTGGCCAGGATTGAAGGCGAAATGTCAAGAAGTGAAAATTAAATTTGAATCGGTGAAGGTGAAAAGTGAAGTGATGGTAAAGAGTGAAGAAGTGATAGTGAAATGTGAGGATGAAGATTCAACTCCAAAATCTGACCTTCACGTCGATGGAGACAGCGTGAAGCTGGAGGAGACTAGGGACTCTGAGGCAGAGCGAGGCAACTCCCAGAAATTTGTGGATGTGGAGGTGTGGGTGGATTTTTTAGACAATACTGAGTCAAATGGAGACCAAGTCGATGTGTATCATTGAGCTTAGTATAAAGAAGTTCCATTCCATTCAAAGGCCTTTCTCATAATAGAGGTTTTTTGGGTTAGATCGCGTAAATATATAAATGTGTCGTTAAAACCCGCCACCACCCGACACAGCCAAACTAGTAAGGGTTGTCACGTAAACAGAACATGCCAATTTGTCACTAGTACAGCACACCGGTGTGTTGGAGAGCCAAGCCACAACATTTACAATCGGACTATGATGTTTCGCAGTCATTACAGCGAGCTTCATCAGGCGACAGCCAGATTTGTGCCTTTCCCATTGCAAGGTTTTAACCTCCAAGTGGTCAATAGAGGCAGCCTGAAGCTGGAGGAGGCTGCGGACTGAGAGAGAGTGAAATGAAATCCAGCAGTTTGTGGAGGTGGACTTTTTGGAGGATGCAGAGTCGGAACGGCCAGCATGTGTGGTTTTGGAGGTTGGGTAGATCTGTAAGCAGGAGCGGGAAACATAAAAGATCCACAGCATTCAACGTGTTATAATATTTATATTAATAATTGGCGCTAGCATAAATGTGTTATTTCTTTCTCACTGTACGTAGCCAATCTTGCAAATCAAAGGTGAAATGCTTCAGCAACTGCAAGCGGCTTATATCATATTTCATCTCAATCGTTCGACGGCTCGCCCAAGCGGCAGCTGTCCCTTTGTGGTAGAAGGTGACTCAGTACCGACCTGCACGTGGACATGAGTCTGCCAGTAGGGTGGAGCGATGATTGATGTGTAACCCCAGTTGGGTCGTTTGTGGCTAATCTTTCGAATCTGGCAAATTTTGACCCTGACACCATGAATGTTGAACATCCACTGTTAAGCAGATGGTGCATATTTTTGGTTAATATTGCTGCAGTAATCATGAGGGCTGCCGGACAGATGTGAACTGTGAACTTATTTTTAAATCCTTTATATTAAGTTTGCATGCTTGCTTGCGTGCTTGCTTATGACCGTGCAAATCTTTCGGTCGTTTTTTAACCCACTTCCCGTGATCCAATCGAGCTGACATTCTCCACACAGACTCGTTGTGCCAGACAATTAATGTTCGTGAAAAAAAATTCCCAAAATTGTACACTTTTTAGGCAAAAAATAGCGCAGTTGGTAGCGCCCTCGCTTCCCATGCCAAAGGTCGCGGGATCCATCCCCGCGTCCTCCACAGGCGAATATATTTTTAAATCCTTTATATTAAGTTCGCTGCCACGCATATAAAGGATTTATAGTGAAAAACTTTGTTTTTACGGGTTATACTTATAACTAATATCAACCGTGCTATCACTTGGCTTCTCGCATTCTAAGAATGCATGCAGGTGTAGGCATCCATTGAGAGATCAGTGTACAGTAAATGCGCTGTAATGTGATGCAGTTTATTTCAATGCAATAATTGAATGTTGGCGATGTGTCTCTTCATCATTTAGAGTTATAATTTTAACACGTATGATCTGATTTTGAGCATATACAGCAAAATATCTTATCCAGCATCCATGGGGAATCGAGGGTGCCAGTTCATCAAATGTGCCGGTTGTCTGAGAGGTATACTTTATGGTTCAGCAAAATTCTCAAATGTGAAGAAATTAAGCATACATTTTTACTGATATTAAAAATAATTTACTATTTTACAGAGGCACTCGCCAGTCATTTGTACAGCATTTTAAGTTCATAGTTGAGAAGCAGTGGTGCTGTTTAGATTACAGTGTACAGTAGTGCAGTATTGTATGTACAAGTCCAGTGAAACAATTAGGTTAGGCAGCCCACAACACGATCACAATGGCCGATTGCAGATTGCATTTGCGATTCCATTTAGTGCTACCACTCGGCAACGTCATAAAGCACGCTGCAAGATTGCAGAATTTTTCTCGATACGTGAAGTAATATTTATTTTTCAGCTTGACAGATGCCGGTTGATAGAGCATTCCGGATGGTAAAGTGCGTGATAGCAGAGATTTTGCTGTAAGTACCATTTGGTATTTAACGGTCAAAAATGGAAAGTCCTAAATAGACGAACTTTTGTTTTGATCGTAACCTTTGCGGAACATTTAATTGATTGCTGTTGTTCATGTGATGCAGGGTCAAAAGCATTTTTGTAGCTTAGGAACCATATCGCCCAACTCATTGTCTTCTAAATTACGAATAGAAGGGAAAACACTGAAATGTTACATAAAGGAGATTTTCTCCACAACACTAATTATGTTGTGTTATCTGACATATAAACCTGATTTTTTTTGTCTGCCTGTGTCTGCTATGCCTATCCTCGTAACGCTTTCAACTGACAAACTGTAGGGTTTATGTTTTAACAAAGTACATATACAACAAACTAAGCCCCTCCACGAAAACCGCTATTTGTTTTTGCTCTTGGTCCAATGTAAACTAATAAGATCACACCTTGTAACAATGGTCACTGATCATAATGATAACTTTGAGCGCGTGCTTTGCATCTGCGCATACATAGAAACGCCACCTCACTGTTGCCCGTAGCAACGCAAACAAGCTTTTGATTGGCGATGGGAGGGAGGTTCTCCGCGTTAAAAAAAGGCAAAAAAAAATCAGTGACTGCTGCACAAGCACACAGCTGAGGTAAATCCTGAACAGTGTGATGTCCCCCCCACCTCAATTTGCATTTACTACAATGGTCAGTATATGCTACGAGAGTGAGTAGATACTACTATAGAGTCGGTAGATATTCTATGGTTCTTTCAGTAAAGTCACGTAGATAGAAAAAATAACAATAAAATGATACAAATAAAGTGAATAAAAATATCACGACGTTTTGATTGCGACATGCGGTCGTCATCAAGAACAGGGAGGTTAGCCTCTGAGGGAAAGCTGTTTACAAAGGTTTAGAGATGGACGGGGCATCTAATGTTAATGTAGGAGAGGACTCTGACACCGGCAGTCGGTCTACATCAGGGGTCCTCAAACTTTTTAAACAGGGGGCCAGTTCACTGTCCCTCAGACCGTTGGAGGGCCAGACTATAGTTAAAAAAAAAACTATGAACAAATTCCTATGCACACTCTATATATCTTATTTTGAAGTGAAGAAACAAAACGGGAACAAATACAATATTTAAAATGAAGAACAAGTAAAGTTAAATCAACAAACTTGCCAGTATTTCAATGGGAACTATGGGCCTGCTTTTGGCTAATGAGATGGTCAATGTCCGGTTCCATATTTGTCACTGCTAGTCGTAACAAGTGATGCAAGTGTGCATCCGTTAGTCTAGATCTGGTTGGAGATTTCAAATGTTTCATTCTGGAAAAAGTCTGTTCACAGACATAAGTGCTGCCAAAGATGGTTGCTATTTTGAGTGCATGGTTCCTGAGATGAGGATATGTCTCAGAGGGGAGAGATGCATAGAAATTATGAAGGCTGCTTGACTTGAATGCGTCTTTCAGAGAGTCACAATTCTGCAGTTCAGCCAGTTGCATTTGGTAAATTGTATCCACATTTTCAATGTCAATAGAAAATGGGTTACAGAAAAGCTGTATGTCCTGTTCATGGAGATGAAGCTCTTTAAATCTAAATTGGAACTCCTTTTGCAATTTTTCCAGTGAATCCACACATGTTTTGTTTGGGAATGCAACCAATGGTTTTTCCGCTAACAGATTTTCAGTTGTGGGGAGATGGCAGAAGTTTTCCTCCTTCACTTGTTTGATGAGGAGGCCTAATTTTACTTCAAATGCTTTGACATGTGATTGCATATCACATATGAGCTTCCCCTTTCCTTGAAGTTGCACATTGAAACTGTTGAGTAGCTCTGTTACATCTGTCAGAACGGCAAGGTGCCATTTCCATTCTGCATCATTGAGCTCTGGTACTAATTTGTTTTTTGAAAGCAGAAAAGCTGTAATCTGTGGAAGTAAGTCATAGAAACGTTTCAAAACTCTCCCTCGACTCAGCCAACGGTCTTCTGTGTGGTACAGAATATCTTCATAGTCAACATTTAGCTCAGACAGAAATTCCTGAAATTGTCTGTGGTTTAGTGCATGAGCTCTAATGAAGTTAACACAAGATACCACCATTTTCATAACAGAGTCCCACTTCAGTGATTTACTACACAGCGCTTGTTGGTGGATGAGGCAGTGTATGGCTATTGGATGAGAATGGTTATGTTTGTCCATCTCTTGGTTAATGCGAGCAATTACTCCTTTCTTAGACCCCACCATGCTAGGAGCACCATCAGTTGTCACACTGGCTAGTTTAGCCCAGTTCAGCTCCAAACCATTCACAGTTTGGCAAACCTTTTCATAGATATCCTCTCCTGTAGTTGTTCCTTTGATGCTTTGCAGTGCAGAAAGCTCTTCTGTGACTTCGAAATAGTCATTCGTCCCACGAATAAAAATTAGAAGTTGTGCAGAATCACGAACATCATTGCTTTCGTCGAGTGCCAAGGAAAAATAGGAAAGTTTTTTTGTGGAGTTTTGCAAATGCTGATGCAAATTGTCTCCCATTTCTTCAATCCTCCGTGTAATTGTAGGTCCTGAAAGACTCACTGTACTAAATAAATCGGCCTTCTCTGGACACATCTCTTTGGCAACAGAAAGAAGGCATTCTTTAACAAATTCTCCCTCCACGAATGGTCTGCCAGTGCACGCTATTAGCTTGGCAACTTGAAAACTTGCTCGCAGTGATGAAATATTTAGCTGCTTCTGCTTCACAAAAGTATTTTGCTGAGTTAATGTATATTTCAGTTTTAATATTTTATCTTTTCTCACTTCTCCGACCAAACAATCATATTTATCTTTATGTTGAGTTTCATAGTGTCGACGTAAATTGTATTCTTTGAACACAGACAATATATTCTGGCATATCAGACACACAGCTCTTTCCTTGTACTGCATGAAAAAGTAATCATAAGTCCACTGTTGTTTGAATATCCTACACTCCGAGTCAATTTTTCTCTTTCTTGACATCATTGTTTCCTAGGGAGTCAAAATTGCTATTAGTAAAATACCAATATATATACAGCGCTACAAAAACAATATACCAGCAA